TTTTTTCTTTTTTGTTAAATTTGTGAGTGGGAATAATGAATTGAATGGGTTAATTAGGAGGGTATTTGTAAGCTTCAAGTGTGATGTGCGTGCATAAAGAGATATTGTATTTTGGTCAATTAGTAGAATTGTGTTAGGCATGGGTAATGAGTACTAACAAGCATACTGTTATACTAGTGGCTAGTGCATATATATGAGTTGATTTATGAGCTGAAGACTTTGTATTAAGTATTGACGACAGAGTATTGAAACATTGTACTTTTGGGGACGCGATTAGCGGGAGAAATTACTTGACTAAACATCAAAATTTTTGGGGGTGCAAAACCAACAAGGCTAACCAAGAAAAGTTGGGTTGCAATTAAATCAATAAAGTTATACGTATGCAAGGATGAGTATCAATTAAGTCACGGACGGATAACTGACGAGAAGGACACTCGGCTTCCATGCTTGCGAGATCCAACTTTTGGACCTAATCTGTAAGACATTGTTTAAGCTTAGGCAAAATTAACTCTTATGCATTTCTAAAGTGGAGCTTAACCCAGAGTTGTACTAGAGTCCTTGATTCTGACTTGAGTTCGAAACACTTGGCTATAGATAAACCTATCACTAGGTCAATGCCCCCCTTGGGGAAGGAATATTCTAACAATATCTAGAATTACAACTTAACTCAAAGTTGTACTTGTTGGTGTTATCTATACTACTCTAAAAGGAGGAGTGTTTTTGTAAAAATTCATAATACCTAAAACACTCTTACTTTGATATAAATTTTATGGCAAATAAGTAATACACTAATACACATCATATTTTATTTATATTTTTAATTAAAAATGAATTACCTAAAAGATCCTTACTTTAACATGTTTTAATGGCAAATTGGTAATATACTAATGCCATCAGATCTTATATTATTAATTAATAAAATAATATAAAAATATAAAATTAATTGATATAAATAAGACATATGACCTAAAAAGTTATACTTAATTTTATATATTTTTGAAAAAACTGAAAAAAGTTACCCACAAACACACACGCACATTAAAAAACATATGAAAGAACAATATAAAGTAAAAAATATTAAATCTGATAAATAATATTGAATTTATAATAAAGTTATAACACTTACTAATAAGTAATAACTATGAAAAAAGTAATAAATAAAAATATTATAATTAGTAAAGTAATTATAGAACTTTTAAAATTTGTTTAACTTTTTGCGCTTATTAGTTCTGTATATAAATTTTAGATGATAGACATCAGTTATTTATACTTTTATCTATGAAGGTTAAAAATTTATTTTTCTTAGAAAATTAATTATTTTTATTTTAAATAATGTTTTATTTGCTATTAGTTTTTTAATATAATATATTAATGGCATATTATATATATATATACAATAATACTTTCCGTTATATAATATGTAAGTGCAAGAATTGTAATTCAATAGATAAATTAATAGGTAATTTTGCGATAAAATAATGAGCAATTTTTACAAAAATTATATGGATTACCAAGTTCACTTGTTTAATATATTTTTAATATAAAAATTATAAATACAATCAATTATTAACAAAAACTCCTAATAAAAATAATAATATATAAAGGAATAAAAAAAAGGTACATTGCAATGAAAAATCCGACGGTAAGACATTAACCTTTTTTTTCCAAAGACATCACGGTAAGACATTAACTGGAATTTCTAAATGATATTTTATTTGTATATCTATCATTGTAAAATTGCATTGACTATTTCAACATAGATCAAATTACATTATTTATTCTTGTGTAATATAATTATTTCAATTATCTTTATTTATTATTGCGTGAATTTTTGTTAAAAAAATTCCGGGTCATATTCCAACAGTTGGAAAAATGTCACTGGAATTGTAAAAATTTCAATGGAAGTTCTATTCGAAATCTACCTACAGTTGTGGATAAAAAATAATTTCATACTTGAGGCATTATTTGGTTAATAGAAAAAGTATACCATTAAAATAACATAATGTCATTATAATTTATAAATTATATTTTTCATAATTTGTCATCTTTCGCATCTGTAGTACATGTTTAACACATCAATACAGTTACAATAACAAAAAAAAAAACATAACTTTTCTCAATTCAAACATAAGCAAATCAATGAAAATAATATATTTTTAAAAATTTTATGAACAAAAGTTGACTCGACAATATTATTTTTTTTTTTTTGCCGAAACGATAGAGATAATATAAATCAAAACGCACAATTGTGCAAGAAAGCAGCCCAAGGCTGAATAATTCAACCAGAAACTAGAAACTGGGAGGACGGATCGAATGACCGCCTAGATCC